GAACTGAATTAATTTTTTGTTTTTGTTATAAATTGATATATTTACACTGTAAACTTTACAGAATATGATAAATGTACAAAACTGTTTTGAAAGAACTTTTTTAGTTTTTTGTGTTTATTTTTAATAAATATTTATATTTCATTGAAAATTTTGCGTTTTATTCAAATATTACTGTTGGCACTAAAATCAATTAGTGTAAAATATTTGCGGGGTTCTTAAGGTACTATAAAAGCCATTTTATGAATTTTCGAACCGTTAAAAAACAGTTGGTTGTGGTTTCAAGTCCTCTAGACATTTATTTAACCTTTGTGACACGTTGTGAATATAACAAATGTTTTGGCATTTGTCGTATGTCCTATGGACAAAACAGAATTGTGAGCAAACGTAACATACGACAAATGTATGCAGAATTGAAGGTCCATTTTCTCAATAAGTTTTGAAAATATTAAATTCGAAAACATTCAATGTTTAAAATCATAATATGAATTAGGCCTGATCCAAAAATTACAATAATCTACCGTGTAGCTTCGAAATAATTTGAGTTTAAAGTTTAAAGTCGATTTTCTCAAAACCGTGATTTGTAACATTCGACATCCGTTTTCTGAGACGACGATATAAAGGTGCAAAGTGTATCATTGGCCCTCAAGGGGCAGCCGTTAAATGCATGACAAATGTAAATAATCTGCTAAACAGTTCATAACAGAACACGATCGATCACGTTCGGCAACTGTATTCCGCTTTACATGTATGTACATATGTAAATATTTCTCTCTATGATGCACGAAAGCTCGCTTCTTACGAGCTTTTAGCTACAAGTTGTAGAAGTGCAGTTTTCGCTTGGTAGTGATCCGAGTTAATATAGTTTGTCCTGCATTTTAAATTTTTTTCCTAGGGTCTTCGGTTTTCTTACTTTGTAACCTTAAAAGAGTCGGTAATAAATGTCCGGCAAAGGGACGGAGGTAGATAGTTCAGTTCCATCCACAGTTCGAGATTCTTTAACAGCATAAAGACAAATTGCGGGAGCAGGTTAACGTACCATTATTTGGCACTTTGCATTCATGCCTGATCCTTCATCGTCTTTTCTCTGCTACTCTTACCATTTGTTTGTGCAGTACCCTGACTGAAATAGGAATAGTGTGCCACAACACATGGGTTATCGTCTATCCTTGCCCACATTGATTAGAGCTGCTTGCTGGGAGACTTTAACAGTATACGACTCCAGAAAGAAGAAGACCCATGGTGGTGCCAGCTTACTTAGATGACAGTTCGTCCGTCTTCCCATCCAATTATATACTTTCCCTGGTAGGGTTTTCCTTAAAATATCAGCATCTAAATGTTATACTGGCATTCCTCGACTTTGTTCTTAATACGTATAAAATAAAGACATCCACGAAAATTTCATAACTTCCCTATAAACATTTTGGCGAACGCTTGAAAATGACCTCGATATCCAATATGCATATCGAACTAAAAACGAACTCATAACCAACCGTAGGTTTCCAATGTTCATAGTATATTGGTAATACACTTGAGATGGGTTCGAAAAAAAAATTTAAACCATAGAAACAAGAGAGAAAAATCACTCTCTCTCATTAAAATTTCAATT